AACCCATGCAGACAGTCAAAGTTGGCAAGAAATTTCACTGGCCTACCTACACCATTACCACAGTTGTAATGTAGATAACCACTGAACAAAAAGGATGATTTTGAATATATATGTACATATATACATACACACCACACAAACACACATGTACCAATACAAACCAGTATTAAAAATCATTTTTTGTTCAATGGTCACTCACGTTACATCTTTCTCCCACAGAGCAGCCAGGGAGAACCTCCCATCTTTTGGGTAGCAGCTGAGTGCTTAACCACTGTGCTCCTTTTTAAGTATATATAGAGATCATTATACATATAGGAAGGAGCTGTGGTGGCACAGTGCCTAAGGCACTTGACAGCTAACCAGAAGGCTGGCAGTTCAAACCCACCAGCCACTCCTCGGAAGGAAGAGTGGGCAATCTACTTCTGTAGTGATACCACCTCAGAAACCCAAGGAGGGGTCACTATGAGTTGGATTCGACTTAACAGCACATAACAAGGAGCTCTGGTGGCGTAGTGCCTAAAGCACTCGACTGCTAACCAGAAGGCTGGTGGTTCAAACTCACTAACCACTCCTTAGAAAGAAGACTGGGCAATTTATTTCCGTAGTGATACTACCTTGAAACTCAAGAAGGGGTCGGATCCAACTTGACAGCAGTGAGGTTTTTTTTTTTAATATATATATACATATAGTATTCCAATGGTCTTCCTTAAACTTTTAGTTAAATATTGTGCCACTTGGTTTTTACCATGGTAGGTATTTCTATCTAATATTCATGAAGATGTTTTTATAGCAATAAATTTTTAATTATAAAATTATGCACTAAAATTGAACTTTTGATTGATTAAACTATAACTGACAATAATTAACTCATTTTATAAAGGCAAAACCAAAACAAAATGAAGAAAATCAGTGATACTGTCATCAGATCTAAAAGAAAAAATTGATATTGCTGTTTAGACAGCTGATCAGTATCATCTTTTAGATACCTCATCAGTCACTGAAATGGTAAAAATTCTATGGCAAAGACTCCAATGACTTTTCTTTGTAACTTTAAATAAAAATATTAAGTAGGAAAAAAAGATTTTGAAGTAAGCAGGACTTGAATGGTCAAAAGAATCTTAAATCTGACTGTAAAATAAAAGTAAAAACAGAAAGGCTTCTCAAATCATCTATGAACTAACTAAAAGAATGCTTTCATTTATGTCCTCTCTTTACTAAAGTAATAAATTCCTTGGATCACATTTTCTTTTCTCTATGTTTAATTATTTTTCAATGAACATCATTCAGGAAATAGACAATGGATCAGTAAGAAAACTTATGTGGAAATGTGAGGGAAAGACTTACAATTAACACTATCATAAATACAAACTACATTTTTTGTTGTTGTTGTTGTTCGTTATGTTGAGGAACTCTGTTGGGCACTTACACAAATTAATACTAATGTTCATAATAACCCTGAGACAGTAAAATACCATGATAAATTTCTGTGGCCTCCGGAGCTGCTAATAGGTTCAAAGTTTCTTTTTGGGGTGATGAAAGTGTTCTGCAATTAGATCATGGTGATGGTTGTACAACTCTGTGAGTATATTTAAAGCCACTGACTTGTATAATTTAAAAGAGTGATTTTATGATATGTGAATTTTATGTCAATAAAACTGTTATTTATATATTTTTTAAGGAAAAGGGCAGGCTCTGGAGTCAGACTGACCAAGTTAGAATCCTTTAGTTGCATGAATGTAACCGAGTTTCTTAGCATTTTTTGTATCTCAGTACTCCAATCTGTCAAATGGGTATATAACAGTCCCGCTCTGGTAGCATAGTGGCTAAGTCACTTGCCTGCTAACCAGATGGCTGGCGGTTCAAACCCACCAGCCACTCCTCGGAAGGAAGGTTGGGCAATCCTACTTCCGTAGTGATACTGCCTCGGAAACCCAAGGAGGGGTCGCTATGAGTCGGGGCCGACTTGACGGCACATAACAACAACAACAACAATCTCATAGGGTTCTTCTGAGGATTAAATAAGATAATGTATGTAAATTGTTTAGCCTCAGTTGAGTCGGTCTGACTCATAGTGACCCCTCCTTGGGTTTCCAAGGGATGTCACTAAGGAAGTAGATTGCCCAACCTTCCTTCCAGGGAGTGGCTGATGGGATTGCAGAAAATATAATCTTTTGAGGATTAAATAAAATCATGTATGTAAATTACTTAGCCCAGCATCTGGCACTTTTGAGGTTCAGAGACATCAAATAACTTGATGAAGTCACAGAACGATTAAACGGTAAAGGTGGGATATGAAACCAGGTCGGCTTCAAAGTTCACTTTCTCTACCATGCATGTTTCCTTTCCAGAACAGGGAAAAGATTCTCCCTAATTCTATTAAATGGTCAATCCTCCACCATATTAAACCTGGCATTGGATGAGTAAGAAAACCTTTGCTTAACTATCCTTGTCTAAATCTGGATACTTCATTCTCCCAAGTGTCTTTCTTTAAATGTTACCCCTTCAGAGTACTGGACCAACTCATCACAGAGTTTACCATAACCAGATGTCTATGTGTGTGCTATTAAAGGAATTTTACAAGCAAGGGATCTTTTATAATTAAGGACTATTTTTCTTTCAGTTACCAGACTCTGGTTTAGTTCAAATATCTGGAAGGACACAAACAAATGTGTAATACACAAATGCAAAGAGTTAATAACATTCGTGCCATCATCTTCTTGCACAAAGGGTCCTGCATTGGATAAAAATGCTAAGAAAGTTGGGGGCCAACATTTCTGTCCTCTCTCACTCCCATCCCTGTGCTACCTAGTCTTTCGGTGTTTAAAAAATTCTTCCGCCAGCTGTTCTTTCACATAGAGTCCTATTCTTTTCACAATTCTAAATTGTCCTGCCTTATGTAGACCTGTTGCTGCTCCCACCCACCACTCCACCAATTTCTGAAGCACACAATCCACTAAGATCTGACAAAAAGGGCAAAATAAAAGATACTGCCTCCAACCCTCAGAAAAGAAGGAGCACAGGTAGGGTAAGATGCGACGAATATGGATTTTTCTACTTTATCTTTCCTTGCATTTACTTCCAAATAAGCAAAGATTTTGCTGAACATATTCAATCATTATCAAGAAGCAATACAGTTTTCTGTTCTAAATAAACTATTTTCAGTTGTGCCCTTGACAGCTCTGCCTCTGCCCTCTCACCAAAAGAGAAAGTGTGTGTAGAAGTTTCCGCATTCTGGAAAATGACGGCAATGCCACCGTTAAAGGAATCTGGTAAGATGTGCCCTTTGTCTTTTTAGCCCCATACAGTCTCTTGTGTTAAATCCCAAAATTATTTTCTCTTCTCAACACATTACTATACCACATCTCTGACACTAATTCTTTATTTCTCCTTTACGTAATTAATTCTACCCTCACAGTTCCATTCATTTCTGTCAGTTCACATTCATGTTCTGCCCCTTGTGGGTTTTGGTTAACATCTGTTAAACCCTGAACTATAGGGCCATTCCCTGAATAGCACATTTCACATTTTGCAAAGCAAAGTGCTACATATAATTCTACTATCCAATCTATGTTTTCAGCTATTAATTCTTTGGAATAGTGAGATATACAATATCATAATTTATATAAAAAGTATTATAATACTATGACTTTAGCTTGCGAGAGTCAAAAAGTTTTAAAATTATAAGATTTTCCTTTCTTAAGTTTGGCTTTTAAAGAAAGTCTTATGTAGACTTGGAATATATAAAGGTATGAGCAAGGAAAACAAAGATTTTAATAAAAATAGTATCATCACTCACAATTTGAATTTTCCTACCACTTGCACTGTGAGAGAAAAGACCTGGTAATCTGCTCCCATAAAGATTTCAGGCTAGTAAACCCTATGGGGCAGTTCTGCTCTACTATATAGGCTCACTGTGAGTCAGAATCGACTCAATGGCCTGCAACAACAAAAACTGGTCACTGACAGTAGATACATTAATAGCATTAAGAGAAGAAAAAGTCATAGAGCAAAAGAGTTTATAAGCTATTTGCAAGTTTGATTTATAACTGTGATTCTTTTAGAAAATAAAATCTTCCATTTATAATAAACCAAAAAAAAAAAAACAAACCTCACTGCCATCAAGTCAATTCCAACTCACAGTGACCCCCTTTGGGTTTCTGAGGCAGTAAATCTTTAACGAAGTAGATTGCCCAGTCTTCCATTTATAATAAAGATAACTAATATTCACGTTGATGTTTCTGCCATTCTCAACCAGAGTGCTAAAAAGAAGGAACACATATACTTTAAAGACACTCCTTCAAACTGTTCGAATGGAAAAAAATATTTCAATTTTGAATCTTTAAAAAATGTGTTCTAATCCTCCCCCCACCTTTTTTTTTTAATTTTGCACACAGCTGTCTGTCGTACTTTTTAGAATCATGCCAGATGCTGGGTTCATCAAGCAAAAGCAGGAAAACAATGGTTTGAAAGCAATTAGAAGCACCAAGGCTGCAGTGAGGCTCATATTAAAATGTGATAACACTGTTCTAGTGGGAATTTCAACACTGTTCTGTTTTTGACATTTCTCTGCTGCCAGACAGGCAGGCTGTGTGGAAGAGCACTGTGACCGAGGAGGTAACATACTGGAATTTATTTCTGGAGCAAATTAGGGATTAGCTGAGTTGGAAGCCTGTCAAGGTTTTTATTATGGACTCAGCCACCATTTTATTTGAATGCTAGTGGATCCAGTTTGCATCTACAAAGCTGAAGGAGTAAAAGTATACTACTGATTTGGTTGCATAAAATAATCTAGCAACAATCCACTCAGAAGGCAGATCAAAGCCTCTTGTTGCTAAAAAGCAGGGCAAGGGGCCCAGCAGGGTGAAGGTTAATTAAACACTCCACTAACTTTCCTCGGAATTGCTAAATGTTACTCTGTGGAGAAGCTTATTTAGAAAAGACAGAAGTAAACCAACTATTCATTTTTAATGTAAAACCATAAATGATCCAAGAGAACTCACCTTGAGGTTGAAAATCCCAGTGGTACCTGGAATACAAGATAAAAATGGAGATAAGTCAAGTTTGTACTTCATTATTTCTCAATTTAGGATTGCATAAGGTAGTTATAGCACCCAGTCCCAAAAGCTTGCTAAATAGTCACCAACTAGCCAAAATGACTGATCACTGAGGAAAATGAAGGGTTGTCCCCTGTCCCTGAGATTTGAAAGATTCTCAAAGGTGCAAAGCTGCATTTAAATCACTGTAACTCCTTGGATAATTTTGTCTTTAGAGTTGATAGTGATGGCTCAAGTTTTTGCATCAAGAGCTCTATGGGCTTTGGGCAGGACAGCTTTCTGTTGTAACAAAATGTCCCATGTATTACAGGACAACTAGCATTACTGGTCCTGGCATCAAATACCAGTGGCACCTCAGTTGTTGTGACAACCAAAACACCTCACAACATATTCCCAAATGCATTCTAAGCCTAAATTCTTAATTTTACAGGTAAAACATGAATAATTAACTCAAGTCATCTAACGTTTCGGTACCTGAGCCTCGGAAACCCAAGGAGGGGTTGCTATGAGTCGGATCCAACTTGACGGGAGTAAGTTTCCTTTTTTTTTTTGAGCCAAGATTTGAGCTCTTGAAGTCCAATGTGCTATTCTATATCTTCTTTTATTTTGAGAAATGATTGGCAAAACTGGCAGCCCCTAAAGTCTTAAACTAAGGAAATGGCAGTGGGAGAAAGAATCATTTGTAAGTCATTTATTTGGAAACTAAATCAGATTTTTTCTCACAGAAACAGTGTTCTATATAATAGTTAGTTACCACAAAGTCTATAGTACTTTGGATCCTATTTCTTTCTGCCTTGACAGGATGCCTCACATTATTCTACATGGATTTTATCTCTTATACATTCAATCTCTTCCTTTCAACTGGCCCCTTTCCATCAGCATTTCTGCTTATATAAAAATAAAGCTAGCCTTCCCTCACCCCCCTCACATCCCTCCATCTGCTGTCTTTTTTCCCTTCCCTCACAGTGACATTTTCAAAAGAGTTGTTTATACTTGCTCTCTTTATTTCCTTACCTCCTACTCACTCCTCACATGCTCCAATCTGGCTCACAGTCACCACACCTTAATTCTTACTATGGACACAGTGTCTTCCATGCCACTAAATTGAGTGACCTCCCAGCAGTATATGTGCATATGAGTACTTTTTCCTGAGGAAAGTGTCCACAGTTTTTATAAAATTCTTAAAAGGGTCTATAGCCCAAAAAAGATTATGAAAAACAATACATAGGTGATAATGATATGTCTTCCAATACATAACTGAAATAAGGTTTGGCTACATTGGAGAGGAATATCATCCCAGTGGATATCTAGATTATTTCTTTACTCTATAAGGTAATATTTCAGAAAACAGAGAGGAAGGAGGTCAGTGGGAAGTATGTTGCCTTAATCCAGGGCTAAATTTAGGAAGAATACTAAACAGAGGAAGATAAAATGGAAGAGAAACCTCATGATTGGACTATTCCTGTTTCTTTCCTTTCTCAGAACAGTTATAGGTTGGGAACCAAAGGCAAATGTGTGATACTTGGGGTGGGGGGCAGGGCAAGTCCAAAACAACAGTGCCACCTGCAGTAGAAAAGAGGAGCGAGAAGAGAAAAGAAAAGTAGTAGGGGATCCAAGTTTCCAGTGCTGTATCAGACAGTCTTTCACCACCATTCGTAAGGTTTTCACTGGCCAGTTCTTTGAGAAGCTGATGGCCCATTCCTTCTTCCGAGTCTGTCTTAGTCTGGAAGTTCCATTGAAACCTGTCCACCATGGGTGACCCTACTGGTATTTGAAATACCAGTGGCATAGCCTCCAGCTTCATAGCAACATGCAAGCCACTACAGTACAACAAACTGACAGATGAGCGGTGGTTTCAAGGTGTATTCTGAAATACAATGCTGTTAGTGATAGGATAATATTCATCCGCCTACAAAGAAGACCTGTTAACACTACTATTATTTAAATTTACTCACCAACCACCAAAGCCAAAGATGGGGAAATTGAAGATTTTTACCAACTTCTGCAGTCTAAAATTGACCAAACATGCTATCAAGATATGTTGATTATCACTGATTGGAATGCAAAAGTTGGAAACAAAAAAGAATTACTGGTAGTTGGAAAATATGGCATTGGTGATAGAAATAATGCTGGAGATAGATCAATGACTTATTTATTGCAAATACCTTTTTTCAACAACACAAATGAGGGTCTATACACATGGACATCGCCAGATGGAGTACACAGGAATCAGACTGACTACACCTGTGGAAAGAGGTGATGGGGAAGCTCAATATCTTCAGCCAAAACAAGGCCAGAAGCTGACTGTGAAAGAGAATATCAGTTGTTCATATGCAAGTTCAACTTGAAGCTGAAGACAATTAAAATAAGCCCATGTCAATGTACCAAATATGAGTGATCAACACGGTGGTATTGAGGAAGAGGAAGACATAGAAAGGTGCATGGGAGGTACAGACAACAAAGATGAGTCCTTTTGCACATACAGTACTGCATTGTAAGTAATGGCAAACATTGATCTACAGGTGGACAGATGGGTGGACAGGCTGAACAATTAGGTATGTCTATGCAGGGGAGAATGTGCCCATGATTATGTATAGGGTTGACAGACAATGTTTCTACAAGTATATTTGTATATTCTGTAAGAATTTCTAGGTATAGTAGAGCTGTTAAGGGACAAGGTTGTATTCACTTCTTGGCCACAACTAGCTAACCAGAGGGAGTGAGTAGTTGGACCTGTTGGCTCAGCACCATAGTTGCAGGGACACCAACCTCAACTGGCATAACATACTACACAAAAACATTGTTCCACATCCTACTGTGATGAGTAGCGACTGGGATCTTAAAGCTTGCAAGTGGCCATCTAGATGCAACGATGGATCTCTCCTCATCTAGAGCAAAGAAGAATGAAGAAAACCGAAGACACATGGAAACAATTAGTCCAAGGGACTGGTACACCATGCAATCCTCAGTCTTTATCACTATGAGAGCAAAAGAACTAGATGGTGCCCAGCTACCACTGTCAACCACTCAGAGGGGGATCTATGTAGGAGATCCTGGATAGAGTGGGAGAACAATGTGGAACAAAACTCAAAATCATAAAAAGGGGGGGGGGAAGGTTTGTTGGTCTGACAGAGCTTGGGGGAATACCTGAGACTATGGCCCCTAGCTGCCTTTCAGGTCTGGAATTGAACCCATTCCAGTGGCTTCCAGCCAAATAAAAGACAGGCGTATGAGCTGAACATTTACATAAACTAGATACATTTCTTGGAGAGATCAGTCATGGGAGAATAGAAGGGATGTGTATGCACAGGGAGACAGCTCTGGGGCAGGAATGCATGGTGAAGAGGTGGCTATGGGGAGGAAGTGGGAGGAGAGCTGTTGCACTGTGGGAGATTACAGTCAATGTTATGAGACAAAGTATATGTGAACTGCTATATGAAAGATGAATTTGCTCTGTAAACTTTCACCTAAATCACAATTTAAAAAAAAAAAAAGCCCACAAGAGCCAAAATATGACCTTGATTATATCCCTCCTGAATTTAGAGACCATCTAAAGAATAGATTTGATGCACTGAACACTAATGACCGAAAACCAGAGGAATTGTGGGATGACAAGAACATCATCCATGAAGAAAGCAAAAGATCATTACAAAGACAGGTAAGGAGGAAAAGACCAAAATGGATGTCAGAAGAGACTCTGTAACTTGCCCTTGAATGGAGAGTAGCTAAAGCAAATGGAAGAATCCACAGGATAAAAAAGCTGAACAGAAGATTTCAAACAGCAGCTTGAGAAGACAAAGCCAATTATTATAATGAAATGTGCAAAGACCTGGAGTTAGAAAACCAAAATGAAAGAACACACTCAGCATTTCTCAAGCTGAAAGAACTAAGGAAAAAATTTAAGCTTCGAGTTGCAATACTGAATGATTCTATGGGCAAAATACTGAATGACGTAGGAAACATGAAAAGAAGATGGAAGGAATACATAGAGTCACTGTACCAAAAAGAATTGGTCGATGTTCATCCATTTCAGGAGGTGGCATATGATCAAGAACCAATGGTATTGAAAGAAGATGTCAAAGCTGCACTGAAGGAACTGGCAAAGAGCAAGGCTCCAGGAATTGATGGAATACCCACTGTGATGTTTCAACAAAATGCATGCTGTGTTAAAGGCATTCACTTGTCTATGTTAAGTAATTTGGAAGACAGCTACTGGCCAACTGACTGGAAAAGATCCATATTTATACCCATTCCAAAGAAAGGTGAATCCACAGAACATGGAAATTATTCAATAATATCATTAATATCACATGCAAATAAAATCTTGCTGAAGATAATTAAAAAACGGTTGCAGTAGTATATTGACAAAGAACTTCCAGAAATGCAAGCTGGATTCAGAAGAGGACACAGAACAAGTGATATCATTGCTGATGTCAGATGGACCCTGACTAAAAGCAAAAAATAGGAGAAAGATGTTTACTTGTGTTTTATTGACTATGCTAAAGCATTTGATTGTGTGGATCATAACAACAAATTATGGATAACACCAAGAAGAATGGGAATTCCAGAACACTTGACTGTGCTCATCAGGAACCTGTACATAGACCAGGAGGCTGTCATTTGAACAGAACAAGAGAATATTGCACAGTTTAAAATCAGGAGGGGACTGCATCAGGGTTGTATCCTTTCACCATACTTATTCAATCTGTATGCTGAACAAATAATCCAAGAAGCTGGACTATATGAAGAACATGGCATCTGGATTGGAGGAAGACTCATTAACAACGTGCAATATGCAGAAACAGCCTTGCTTGCTGAAAGTGAAGATGACTTGAAGCACTTACTAATGAAGATTAAAGACTTCAGTCTGCAGTATGGATTACATCTCAATATAAAGAAAACCAAAATCCCCACAACTGGACTAGTAAGCAGCACCACAATAAATTGAGAAAAAATTGAAGTTGTTAAAGAT